TTCAATCCAGGCGAGAAAGTTCTTGTGCTAGTGCCTAATCTGAACAATGCGTTATCCTTAAGATATTGTGGACCCTTTACTGTGCATTCAAAATTAAGTGATTTGAACTATGTTGTCAATACGCCAGACAGAAGAAAGAAACAGACAGTGTATCATGTTAACTCACTGAAAAAATATTATGATAATTGTAACAATTTTCATTCCACAGCTAAAATTACTTTACCTGTATGTTCAAATGTTTCTGATGATGTGATACATGATAAATTGAAACCCCCAAAATTGGTAAATTCTTCCTTTTTAAATCATCTAAATGACCACCTTATGCATTTGTCCACAGAGGAAAGCCATAAATTGTCTCAGTTATTTGAGACATTTCCCTCTATTTTTGGCGATGTCCCCAAAGAAGCGAAGGTACCACCTCATGATGTAGACGTAGGTGATGCAAAACCCATCAAACAACACCCCTATAGAGTTAACCCGGAAAAAGCTGCTTTGATAAAAGATGAAATTGATTATATGCTCAAGAATGATATCATTGAACCCAGTTTCAGCAACTGGAGTTCCCCATGTCTTTTAGTCCCGAAAGACGGTGGATCTTTCAGGTTTGTGACCGACTTTAGGAAGGTAAATGCGCTCACCAAAGCTGATTCCTATCCATTACCTCGAATAGGAGACGTTATTGATAAACTTGGTCAAGCTAAGATAATTTCCAAAATTGATTTACTATCAGGATACTGGCAAATCCCCTTATCTGACCGTGCAAAAGAAATATCTGCTTTTGTAACCCCTAATGGTTTTTATAGATACAAACGTATGCCCTTTGGTATGCGAAATGCTGGTCAAACTTTCCAGCGGGTCATTAACTCTGTCATTGCTGACATAGACCAATGTGAGGCCTACATAGATAATATAGTTGTTTTTTCCAATACTTTTGAAGAACATATTGTTCAGTTGACTAACCTTTTTAGAAAATTGTCTGAAGTTAATTTTACTGTAAACCTGCATAAAAGTGATTTCTGTAAAGGTTCAATTACCTATTTGGGTTATCAAGTGGGAACGAACCAAGTTAGGCCCATTGAAGCTAAAGTAGATGCTATTGTAAAGTTGCCTCCTCCCAAAAATTGTAAAGAAATCAAAAAGTTCCTTGGGATGGCTGGTTACTATAGGCGGTTCTGTCAAAACTTTTCAGCTGTTGCTGAACCTCTTACTGCATTATTGAAAAAGGGTGTTGAGTTTGAATGGTCAACTAAATGTCATGAAGCTTTTTTAACCATTAAGTCATTTTTATCTAATGCTCCTGTGATGGCTGCACCAGATTTCAGCAAGCCCTTTAAACTTGCCATTGATGCTAGCAACTTAGCCATTGGCTCAGTCTTATTTCAAGAAGACAACATGGGGATTGACCATCCAATTGCTTTTTTTTCCAGGAAGTTAAATGAGAACCAAAAGAATTACTCTACTATTGAAAAAGAAGCTTTAGCTTTGGTTTTGTCCTTACAACATTTTGAAGTCTATGTCTCTTCTTCAACCAATCCAGTCAGAGTGTTTTCTGACCATGATCCCCTGAAATTTACCTCTAAGTTAGGACAGAAGAATCACAGAATATTGAGATGGTGTTTATATTTCCAAAATTTTAATCTGGAAATTTCCCACATTAAGGGTATTGATAATGTTGTGGCTGATTGTTTGTCAAGGATGTAAAATCTTATTACACACATTGATCATGTGACATGTTTTGTGGTTCATTAGGACCATACACAGGTGTTTTGTTTGGGTGACACTCATATGAATGTGAGTGGTATGAGTTTTGAATTTTTTCAAAATTTCAATCTTGTTGAATATTTTGTTTATTTTCAGGTGAACCTTAATTAAAGGTGGTTTTTGATTATATGTAATCTTCTATGATAATATGTCTCATATGACTCAGTTGATAAGGTTGTGTAGGTAAGGTAAGGTTGTGTAGGTAAGGTAAGATTGTTTAGGGGAGGTAAGGTTGTGTAGGGGAGGTCAGGTTGTGTAGGGGAGGGCAGTTTGTGTAGGGGAGGTAAGGTTGTGTAGGTGAGGTAAGGTTGTGTAGGGGAGGTAAGGTTGTGTAGGGGAGGTAAGGTTGTGTAGTGGAGGTAAGGTTGTGTAGGGGAGGTAAAGAAAGGTGTAGGAGAGGTAAGGTTGTGTAGGAGAGGCAAGGTTGTGAAGGGGAGGTAAGGTTGTGTAGGGGAGTAAGATTGTTTAGAGGAGGTAAGGTTGTGTAGGGGAGGTCAGGTTGTGTAGGGGAGGTAAGATTGTGTAGGGGAGGTAAGGTTGTGTTGGGGAGGTAAGGTTGTGTAGTGGAGGTAAAGAAAGGTGTAGGAGAGGTAAGGTTGTGTAGGAGAGGTAAGGTTGTGAAGGGGAGGTAAGGTTGTGTAGGGGAGTAAGATTGTTTAGATGAGGTAAGGTTGTGTAGGGGAGGTAAGGTTGTATAGGGGAGGTAAAGTTATGTAGGAGAGCAAGAGTACCTAAAGGTAGAATATTATGTCTTCTTTCCTTACGCAATTATTTCTTTTTATGAAATTTCTGAATTCTAGCTATTGTTACCTTTTAAGATGGCCGATATTGTCATAGTTACCAAAATCCCCCAACACCGCTCCCTCTACACCCACACACAATTGTAACTGCAAAGTCATGTTGATGCACATTCACAAAGTAACATAGAAAATGTGTCCGTCATGTATTACAAATCTTCGTACATAAGGAACAACCCCTATTTCTCGTACAGGGACCACAGCCATAACTTTCTCTACAGGGACCACAGCCATAATTTTCACTACAGAGACCACTGCCTTTCCCTGTGATAAACCTGTAGATACACTCGTCTAGTTTTGATCCTCACACTTATCACATTGTCTCACCTGCACACTGTAGCTCAACAAGCGGGGGCTGTAAATAGGAAGTGGGGAAATATCATTGGGAACACATGGTGAGATCGATTGTCACAATATGTTGTGATTGTTGCTCTTGTCATTGATGCTGTTGTGGTTGTTGCTCTTGTGATTGATGCTGTTGTGATTGTTGCTGTTTGATGTTGACTGTCTGAGTGTCAGGACCATCTCCAAGTAGGTACTCGTCGTATGCCTTTGTCTCTACTAGTGTAGGGGAAGTAGATTTGATGTGTGTGATTATGTTCATTTATTTTTACAAGTCTTGATGTGAACTGAATGTAAATAATTGAAAACGTATTTACTATGATTTTAAATGTTGATTTGTGCTGTTTTTACTGGAAAAAGTAGGCTTCATGTTTAGTCTGTTATAAGTCTTGGAAAGTAGGCTTCATGTTTAGTTTGATACAAGTCTTAGACAGACTTTTCTAGACTACCCAGACACACAGCAGGCAATACGTTTGTTTTAAAGATTAAACCTCTAATGAACCATGTTTTGTAATAAGAACAGCTACTTACACACCAGACCTAATACGTCAGGTCACTTAGAAAGTCTGTTTGTCTGAATGTTTCAATCATTACTTCAGTTTTAGTTTAGAAAAAATAAGCTGATATTAATCGTAACGTCAATAGGTTTACATTTTACCAATACATTCTTTGCTTTGCGATAAGCCGACAAGATATCATCCCCCTCCCATCTCATCCCCCCCCCCCCTCTTCTCCCACACACAAATGCGTGACGTCACGGTGAGCCATAAAACACAAATGTTCACTGACACGGGAAAATACACATCAATGATCAATTCTTCCGTGTGTTTTTTGATAACGACCTATTCAGGTGAAATATGATCGGTAGTTGATAATTTTAACGAACTATTCATGTGAACTATGATCAGTAGTCGATAATTTATTTTTTTACTCTTGAAGATGCTTAATAAATAATGTCCCATTTAATTCATTGTCGCCTAGCATTTTCTTCATATGTGCGAAATGCACGAGAGAATTGATCTGCAGATGTGATATCAACAAATCCAATTTAGATATTTTGAAAGAAGCAATAGTGGCCTTTTTAGAATTTTCCACATGTCTAGTGAAAACAGTCTTTTGTGCTGTTAGACTTGATTTTAGATTACATTTTTTCTTCTTTCTTACTTCAGATTTAAGAGGATAATTCACATTAAAAGTGCCATAATTTGTCTGAAAGTGTCGTTCAACGTTGTTTTTTTTATGCTACTACCACTCAACAAACAAACGCAGTTATTTTTCAAATTAACGAAACAATATGATTCCTCCCAGTCAGTGTTAAAATTTTAAGTTCGTTGTCTTTTACTTGGTCCACTCATTTTAGGGCTAAAATGAATAATAATAAAAAAAAAAACAATGCTTGAACTACAATATAATATCAATGTTAAAGCGCAAGTCTGTTCTGCATTATATGCATACATATATTATAACAAGAACTATAACTATCTCCTCAATAATAATAGTTTATTGATAGATCATCGCTTATGAATACAATAAATTACGCTCCTCGCTTTTAGCCTGTTAATTTTTTTTTTTATAGAAAACTCCTAATTCGTGTTTCGTCTGACGAACTTGTCTCTTATCTAACTGTCGCGACCCGAACAGGGCAGCAATCACAATGACAACAACGCGGTTCCAGGCGGGGAATGCTTTTTGCACATCACTCCATGTACACGCGGAAAACCCGAAGAGAGCCGATGATCGCCGAAGCAATCCAGAGTTATGTGCCTTGTGATTTGGCGCCTTCGGCGTTTATCGGATCTGTTCGTGGGTTTTTTTTTGGAGAACCCTGCTCTAGAGTAAAAAACAGGATGGGAACCCCTGCTCTAGAATCAATGATGTCAATCTTTTTCGAGTAGCTTTGGGTTCGTTTCGTTTGACCGTTAAAGATTTTATTTTCCTTATGTTTCGTATAGACAGACAGACAGACTAACGGACAGACAGACGGACAGGCAGACAGACCGAATAACGATACTGCTATGGTGATGTTTACATACCTATGGTGTGTGTACACTTAAATTGTACACACATGGTCTGACATAAAACGGGTTGTGTTCCAGTCAAATGAGTCGCCAGGTGACAGCGAGCGTGCTACTCGCAGTGCTCTGTCTCTGGTTTATCGTCCAGTTCCTGCCATGGGGAGGCTCGCTAGAATTCCGGGAACCACTTCCCAAGTCTTACCTGGGAGGGTCGCTCAAGTTCCAGGAACAAGTTAACCAGTCTAACCGTGACTCGCTGACACAATTGCAAGTTACGTGTACGAATGTCAGCCAAGAAATGACCCGAGGTCACTGGGTACAGAACAACTTTACTCTGGACCAGCTGAAAGAAATAGAAGCTTTCCTCAGGAGAACCAGAGCGTATCACAAGTTACCAGCAGATTTACAGCGAGACGACAAGAAATGTGGTGAGTATCTTGACCGATTTACAGCGAGACAAATTTCCCAGTCTGGTGTCCATTTAGGTCCATAAATTAACATAATTTCCCCCCCCCACCTCGCTACGATAGGTAACTTACTTGGGCTTAAAATATTTTAGCTCTAAATTAATTCGAGAAACCCGAAAATAATTTCATACCAGAGATCCCACATGACATATGTCCCACGTGACTCCCACGTGACAAATGTCCCACGTGACAGATGTCCCACGTGACAGATGTCCCACGTGACAGATACGTCACGTGACAGATGCCCCACGTGACAGATGCCCCACGTGACAGATGTCCCACGTGACAGATGTCCCACGTGACTCCAACGTGACAGATGTCCCATGTGACAGATGTCCCACGTGACTACCACGTGCCAGATGTCCCACGTGATTCCAACGTGACATATGCCCCACGTGACAGATGTCCCACGTGACAGATGTCCCACGTGACAGAGATCTCTTTGAATCTAAATCCCCGCCTGTATCTGCTGTAGGTGACGTGAACTTCCCTGGCACCGACTGGAGTAGAGCCGTGTGCAACCCTAACGGCTCCACGCCCTGTTGCTGGGAGACGAGCTGTGTGGCCAAGTCGGTAGAGCAGTGTCGGTGTCCGCGCTGCTACGACATGAGGCAACAGATCCACGCTGAGCTAGCGACCTGGGTCCCTGACAACCCCAAGTGTCAGGTCAGTCATACAGGGGTCTCTTACAGTGATACAGGGGTCTCTTACAGTGATACAGGGGTCCCTGACAGTCATACAGGGGTCCCTGACAGTCATACAGGGGTCACTGACAGTCATACAGGGGTCACTGACAGTCATACAGGGGTCCCTGACAACCCGTCAGGTCAGTCATACAGGGGTCTCTTACAGTGATACAGGGGTCTCTTACAGTCATACAGGGGTCCCTGACAGTCATACAGGGGTCCCTGACAGTCATACAGGGGTCCCTGACAGTCATACAGGGGTCCCTGACAGTCATACAGGGGTCCCTGACAGTCATACAGGGGTCTCTTACAGTCATACAGGGGTCCCTGACAAGTGTCAGGTCAGTCATACAGGGTCCCTGACATTCATACAGGGATCCCTGACAAGTGTCAGGACAGTCATACAGGGTCCCTGACAGTCATACAGGGGTCCCTGACAACCCCAAGTGTCAGGACAGTCATACAGGGGTCCCTGACAGTCATACAGGGGTCCCTGACAGTCATACAGGGGTCACTGACAGTCATACAGGGGTCACTGACAGTCATACAGGGGTCCCTGACAACCCGTCAGGTCAGTCATACAGGGGTCTCTTACAGTGATACAGGGGTCTCTTACAGTCATACAGGGGTCCCTGACAGTCATACAGGGGTCTCTGACAGTCATACAGGGGTCCCTGACAGTCATACAGGGGTCCCTGACAGTCATACAGGGGTCCCTGACAGTCATACAGGGGTCCCTGACAGTCATACAGGGGTCCCTGACAGTCATACAGGGGTCTCTTACAGTCATACAGGGGTCCCTGACAAGTGTCAGGTCAGTCATACAGGGTCCCTGACATTCATACAGGGATCCCTGACAAGTGTCAGGACAGTCATACAGGGTCCCTGACAGTCATACAGGGGTCCCTGACAACCCCAAGTGTCAGGACAGTCATACAGGGGTCCCTGACAGTCATACAGGGTTCCTGACAAGTGTCAGGTCAGTCATACAGTAGTCCCTGACAGCCCCAAGTGTCAGGTCAGTCATATAGGGGTCCCTGACAACCCGTCAGGTCAGTCATACAGGGTCCCTGACAGTCATACAAGGGTCCCTGACAAGTGTCAGGTCAGTCATACATGGGTCCCTGTCAGTCATACAGGGATCCCTGACAGCCCCAAATGTCATGTTAGTCAAGCTGGGGTCCCTGACAAGTGTAAGGTCAGTCATACAGGGGTCCTTGATTTTGAAATTAAGTATAAACCACACATCCACTTGAACAGTTAACCAAAAGTTGACCTGACCTCACCAGATGGCGCTGTTGTCCAGACAACAAATCTGTCAACTATTGACCAACATGACCATCTATTTTATTGGAGACTCTTTGATGCGCCAGATCTTTTTGTCTGTCTTTGGTCTCTTGAGGGATGATATTCTACTGGACTCTACCCCCCAAGGTTTGTCACTCTACTCCCACCCCCCAAGGTTTGTCACTCTACCTTCCCCCTCCCCCCCCCCCCAAGATTTGTAACTCTACATCCCAAGGTATGTAACTTTCCACCTCAAAGCTTGTGACACGAACTCCTCCCCCCCCCCCCTCCCCCAAGGTTTTGTCACTCTACCCCCGTCTTATGAAAGATATCCCAGTGGATTGCGAGGGTATGAGAGTATGCGTGTTGTAGAATGATTTTATAACCGTGATTTTCTTACAGTTTCTAATACTGTTAACTCTCTACAAGCTCCCTAATAAAACTCAATAGTATTATCTTATCAATAGTAATATAACTTTTAAATCTTATATTAACAATGACCGATAAAAAACTTTTACTTCGGCGCCCCACGTTTTTCATTTTTTTTGTCATAATGCGCACGCAGTTTGCGATCGCTTATAGTAGTGATCGCTTGCATTATTGTGATGTATAGCATTTAATTTCTACTTTTTAGTTCAATCAGAAAACGTGGGTTTTTAAAAACTTTTTAATGATAATTATTAACAGGTTGACTCACCTCGAAACTGTGATGTGGCGGGGAGGGGCGGGGGAGGGACGCAACATTTGATACAAGTTTTATCAACGCGTTATTAATCTTCTATTTATAGACGTGTGACCTTGTTTTCTTATTGTAGCTTCTCTGCTAAAAAAAAAGCAGCACGGAAATTTGGGGCGCTAAATGAAAGGGGAGATAACAGAATTAAATAGATCTAGTAGCTCACACAGGCAAAGCGCCCCTTTAAGGCGTAAAGGGCGAACTAAAAATCTTAAAATATTGCGCATATATATATATATATACATATATATATATATATATATATATATATATATATATATATATATATATATATATATATATATATAGTTCGTTATTACTAATTACAAAATGATAAGACTGAAAACGATATTATCTGGATTCAACAACAAATGTGTATGAATGACGGTTATATGTTTAGCTCTATTGTATGGATTCAATTATTGTGGTTCTATAACTGTGCTAGCAGTACCAGCGTCACGTGTTCTACATTTCAGCCAATCGCAATATTTGTGACCACTACAACCGCTATTTCACAGACTGTACGCCCCACATCTTGCGTGATTCAAGGGAGTGTGGGGGAGAGGTAGGTAGTCGGTATGGGGGCATGTGGGGGGAGAGGTCGATTTGTGGGGGAGTGGGGGAGAGAGGTATTTAGTCTGGATTGGAGGTAGGTAGTCGGACCTAGGGAGTGCGGGGAATGGTAGGTAGTCGGGGGAGGGGGGGATTTATCCATTGGTTTAACGAGTGTTGGTTTCCTGTATAAACTCGGGCTCGCTAAACTCCTGTGATCTACCATAAAACAGGTGCATCTGATGAGCCAGTCGTTATGGAGGGCAAGTCAGAGCAAGAACATCCTAGAAGTCATGGGTCAGCTGACTGGAAAAAACAATTCTCTCTTCGTCTTCGGTATTGGGTTACATGATGGGCTGGACCACAATGTGGTGGAATCACAGGTTGGTTTAGTGGTGGATGTTGTAGACAGCTATAGTTGGTTTAGTGGTGGATGTTGTAGACAGCTACAGTTGGTTAAGTGGTGGTTGTTGTAGACAGCTATAGTTGGTTTAGTGGTGGATGTTGTAGACAGCTATAGTTGGTTTAGCTATAGTTGGTTTAGTGGTGGATGTTGTAGACAGCTATAGTTGGTTTAGTGGTGGATGTTGTAGACAGCTATAGTTGGTTAAGTGGTGGATGTTGTAGACAGCTACAGTTGGTTAAGTGGTGGTTGTTGTAGACAGCTACAGTTGGTTAAGTGGTGGTTGTTGTGTAGACAGCTATAGTTGGTTTAGTGGTGGATGTTGTAGACAGCTATAGTTGGTTTAGTGGTGGATGTTGTAGACAGCTATAGTTGGTTTAGTGGTGGAGGTTGTAGACAGCTATAGTTGGTTTAGTGGTGGATGTTGTAGACAGCTATAGTTGGTTTAGGGGTGGATGTTGTAGACAGCTATAGTTGGTTTAGTGGTGGATGTTGTAGACAGCTATAGTTGGTTTAGTGGTGGCTGTTGTAGACAGCTATAGTTGGTTAAGTGGTGGAGGTTGTAGACAGCTATAGTTGGTTTAGTGGTGGATGTTGTAGACAGCTATAGTTGGTTTACTGGTGGATGTTGTAGACAGCTATAGTTGGTTTAGTGGTGGATGTTGTAGACAGCTATAGTTGGTTTAGTGGTGGATGTTGTAGACAGCTATAGTTGGTTTAGTGGTGGATGTTGTAGACAGCTATAGTTGGTTTAGTGGTGGAGGTTGTAGACAGCTATAGTTGGTTTAGTGGTGGATGTTGTAGACAGCTATAGTTGGTTTAGTGGTGGATGTTGTAGACAGCTATAGTTGGTTTAGTGGTGGATGTTGTAGACAGCTATAGTTGGTTCAGTGGTGGATGTTGTAGACAGCTATAGTTGGTTTAGTGGTGGATGTTGTAGACATTAATAGTTGGTTTAGTGGTGGATGTTGTAGACAGCTATAGTTGGTTAAGTGGTGGTTGTTGTATAGACAGCTATAGTTGGTTTAGTGGTGGATGTTGTAGACAGCTATAGTTGGTTAAGTGGTGGTTGTTGTAGACAGCTGTGAGTTTGTTTTGGTGACTAAATCTGTTGTAGCTTTTCACTTCAGTAGATTGTTTGTTGCTGTCTATATTCTCTTATAACCCCTGTATATTTTTTTATTGTCCTTCTATTTATATATAATGTCCTAGTGTCCTTGTTCAATGTCCTTTAATACCGTCCAACAATTATATATGTCCTTAGAGCCTTGAATTTGGTTTTACCATTTTTCTATTTTTTTTATTTTGGCTTGAAAAGTGATCAAAAAATTACATTATTGTAATGTTTAAACTATTTTAAGACTATTATGCTTTTTATTACTGATAATTACTTGTTTGAATATTTCTAGCAGTAATAAAACCGGAAGTCATTGTGTTCAACCTTCACAATTATATAAAATATTCAATTCTGGTTGAAAGATAATCTTTCTGGAAATGACAGTTTTGATTCACTTTTCAAGCCTGGGTGAACCCACCATTGTATTTTTCTTCTATCCTCACCCCCTGTCGTTTTTGTTTCTCTAGGTTCTAAAACCAATGTTTGAGCTCATGTCAAAGTCACCTTGGCCGAAGGTCATCTGGGTAACCCCCCACGTACCAGGCCCGCTCAAAAGTGGACGTTACGTACACCAGCAAGCTGCTAAAATGGAAGTCTACAACCAAGTCATGCACCAAGTCATGAGAAAACAGGGAATTCCCGTGCTTGACTTCTTGCACTTGACTGATGGAGTGATGAGTTACGATGGTACCCACTTTGGAAAAGGTCTCAATGACGTCAAGGCTCACATCTTTCTAAACTTTTTGTTGGAAAACAGTAAACATTTTGTACACAACGTTTAGACAGTACTAGGATTTATTGCCTGATGACGTACAGAAAACATTGTGTACACAACGTTTAGACCAACAGCACTAGGATTTATTGCCTGATGACGTACAGAAAACATTTTGTGCACGACGTTTAGACCAACAGCACTAGGATTTATTGCCTGATGACGTACAGAAAACATTTTGTACACAACGTTTAGACCAACATCACTAAGATTTATTGCCTGATGACGTACAGAAAACATTTTGTACACAACGTTTAGACCAACAGCACTAGGATTTATTGCCTGATGACGTACAGAAAACATTGTGTACACAACGTTTAGACCAACATCACTGGGATTTATTGCCTGATGACATACAATACTGATATCAATCCCATTACAAATGTGCTCATAGGGATTAGTCTCGAATGAAATAATAGTGTGTTTTAAAATCGTGTGCAGTGTTGTTAAAAAATCTGAATGTAATAACTTGATTGTGCGGTTTTTGTCGTACTTGGCTGAATATGAAAGGTATACATCAAATAAAGTATCTTCGTAGTATTAAATATTATATTTATTATATTTATTATTTTCGTTTGCTAAATATTGTATACTTTTTTTTGTTTTTAGCATGTTTGTCTGAAAATATTGTATATTTCTGATGTTTTTATTATTTTCATTAACCGAAATGCTTTATTACAGCCATATGTTTTTTTCCACTGAATATGCGAGTTACGTTTTGTCTTTTAGTTATCGTTATGTCCCTTGTACTATATATATATATATATCATTGTTATTTCCCTTGTTACGGCTCTGTGTGCTGTGTTGACGTGTAGTGTGCAGAGTTACTTCCAGGCAAATTTTCGAAGAAAGTCTATCCCCCCACTCCCCCCCCCCCCCCCCCGAACGAAATGGAATTTACATAACAGAAAATATATACTTTTACCAGTGTGTGTCGTCGTTGTCGTCGTCCCGTCCCCCCCCCCCCCCCTAAAAAATATCAAGTGCCCCCCCCCCCCCTCACCCCCCGGAGAAAAAAGTCTGGAAGAAACACTGGTAGTTTGCGGTGTTAAACCAGTGAGTTGACCAAGAATGAAGTCTAAGAGAAAAAGTGTTGTCGCAGCTGTATTGTAAGAATAAAGTATTGAAGTTTAGAGAGTCTGATGAAGCTAGGAATCGAACAACGTGGTATAAAAAAAGAATTTTATTAAAACCTTTATCGGCAATGTTTGAGCACAGATCACTACACAGTGGGGTTATCCGAAGATCGATGGCTGAGTTCCTCCTGAACAGCCAATCAATGTATGTCTTACTAGAGTTAAACTTCAGGTTCCGTTTAGCTTGCAAGAAAACAATGTGAATGTAGCTTAAAGTTTACCAGTCAATAGCAGTGGTTTGGTGCTTCTGACTTCACCCCCATGTAAACTGTGTTGATATGTGCTGTCAGGCACACCAGCAATACTTGTGGTTGTTAAACAATTAGGTGTGTCGACATGTTAGATGTATGTTTGGTTCATGGACTAGAGACATGTTAGATGTATGTTTGGTCCATGGACTAGAGACATGTTAGATGTATGTTTGGTTCATGGACTAGAGACATGTTAGATGTATGTTTGGTCCATGGACTAGAGACTTGTGTACACATGTTAGATGTATGTTTGGTCCATGGACTAGAGACATGTGTCGACATGTTAGATGTATGTTTGGTTCATGGACTAGAGACATGTTAGATGTATGTTTGGTTCATGGACTAGAGACATGTTAGATGTATGTTTGGTCCATGGACTAGAGACTTGTGTACACATGTTAGATGTATGTTTGGTCCATGGACTAGAGACATATGTCGACATGTTAGATGTATGTTTGGTTCATGGACTAGAGACATGTTAGATGTATGTTTGGTTCATGGACTAGAGACATGTTAGATGTATGTTTGGTCCATGGACTAGAGACATGTTAGATGTATGTTTGGTCCATGGACTAGAGACTTGTGTCCACATGTTAGATGTATGTTTGGTCCATGAACTAGAGACATGTTAGATTTATGTTTGGTCCATGGACTAGAAACATGTTAGATGTATGTTTGGTCCATGGACTAGAGACATGTTAGATGTATGTTTGGTCCATGGACTAGAGACATGTTAGATGTATGTTTGGTCCATGGACTAGAGACATGTTAGATGTATGTTTGGTTCATGGACTAGAGACTTGTGTCGACATGTTAGATGTATGTTTGGTCCATGGACTAGAGACATGTTAGATGTATGTTTGGTCCATGGACTAGAGACATGTTAGATGTATGTTTAGTCCATGGACTAGAGACATGTTAGATGTATGTTTGGTCCATGGACTAGAGATATTGGCTGTGTCCCCACCACATACAGTTCAACACGAGGGAAGAGAAGACAGGCTAGAGTTGGATTTTTTTATTTCTGTCATGAGTAGACTGACGTCATACATTGATAGCGTCTCTGGGTTTGGTTGGTGCCTTGTGCGTGTAGTTCTTCAGATTTTATAAGGGAGGGGAGCGGTTAGGATTTTCATGGCTAGGTCTAATTATGGATAATGTTAACAGCTGGTATGTGGGGTGAAGTGGGAATTCTTTAAGTTGGATAGGGGGGGGGGTGGCTGGCAGAAAGGTGGTTGGAACTGTGAGGATCCCAAAACACGGGGAGGCATTTCATGGCTGTAGAAATAAAAGGAGATGAAAGTTTTAAAAATGTAGCCTATCATTTCAGAATGATCACTTATTATTTTAGCTTGACATTTTAAAATTATAACGTTTGAAATTTGATCAGTCTTGCACAATTGTTTAAACATTTTTTAGTAATCTGAATTTATATTTCCAATGTTTTCCTTTCCTTTTGATTATTAATACGTTATCAATCACATGGAGATAAGAAAAGTGGAATGGCGGACTTTAGTCTTATTTGTATCAGCGAGTTAATATGACGTTACAACGAATGAATATGTGAGCTATGACGTAACAACAAATGAATATGTGATCTATGACGTATCAGCGAGTGAATATGACGTAACAAAGAATGAATATGTGAGCTATGACGTAACAACAAATGAATATGTGAGCTATGACGTAACGACGAATGAAATTGTGAGATTTGAGTATGAATTAGCGTGTGAGCTATGACTTCACAGAGAATGAACATGTGAGCTATGAGTTGCAGAGAATGAACATGTGAGCTATGACGTCACAGTGAATGAACATGTGAGCTATGACGTCACAGTTAATGAACATATGAGCCATGACGTCACAGTGAGTGAACAAGTGAGCTATGACGTCACAGTAAATGAACATATGAGCTATGACGTCACAGTAAATGAATAAGTGAGCTATGACGTCACAGACTACAACGAGTGAGCTATGACGTCACAGACTACAACGAGTGAGCTATGACGTCACAGACAACAACGAGTGAGCTATGACGTCACAGACTACAACGAGTGAGCTATGACGTCACAGACTACAACGAGTGACCTATGACGTCACAGACTACAACGAGTGAGCTACGACGTCACAGACTACAACGAGTGAGCTATGACGTCACAGACTACAACGAGTGACCTATGACGTCACAGACTACAACGAGTGAGCTATGACGTCACAGACTACAACGAGTGAGCTATGACGCCACAGTAAATGAACGTGTGAGCTATGACGTCACAGTGAGTGAACAAGTGAGCTATGACGTCACAGACTACAATGAGTGAGCTATGACGTCACAGACTACAACGAGTGAGCTATGACGTCACAGACTACAACGAGTGAGCTATGACGTCACAGACTACAACGAGTGAGCTACGACGTCACAGACTACAACGAGTGAGCTATGACGTCACATACTACAACGAGTGAGCTATGACGTCACAGACTACAACGAGTTGAACCAACAGCCCTCACCATGCTGGTTCCCACAAAAGATTTTTTCATGTGATCACGTGATAGGGGAAGTAGCTTTTTTGGTGTCACGACCTGGGGAAAAATAAAGGTCACAAGTTTCTGGTCAAGATCTTAAAACTAGTCTACCTCTGGTCAAGATCTTAAAACTAGTCTACCTCTGGTCAAGATCTTAAAACTAGTCTACCTCTGGTCAAGATCTTAAAACTATTGTACCTCTGGTCAAGATCTTAAAACTACCTCTGGTCAAGATCTAAAAACTAGTCTACCTTTGGTCAGGATCTTAAAACTATTGTACCTCTGGTCAAGATCTTAAAACTACCTCTGGTCAAGATCTTAAAACTAGTCTACTTCTGGTCAAGATCTTAAAACTACCTCTGGTCAAGATCTTAAAACTAGTCTACCTCTGGTCAAGATCTTAAAACTACCTCTGGTCAAGATCTTAAAACTAACTCTGGTCAAGATCTTAAAACTAGTCTACCTTTGGTCAAGATCTTAAAACTACCTTTGGTCAAGATCTTAAAACTAGTCTACCTTTGGTCAAGATCTTAAAACTACCTTTGGTCAAGATCTTAAAACTAGTCTACCTCTGGTCAGGTTTTTTAAACTACCTCTGGTCAAGATCTTAAAACTAGTCTACCTCTGGTCAAGATCTTAAAACTAGTCTACCTCTGGTCAAGATCTTAAAACTAGTCTACCTCTGGTCAGGTTCTTTAAACTACCTCTCGTCAAGATCTTAAAACTAGTCTACCTTTGGTCAAGATATTAAAACTAGTCTACCTCTGGTCAGGTTTTTTAAACTACCTCTCGTCAAGATCTTAAAACCTAAACTATATCCCAACATAACCTAAGCTATATCCTAACTTAACCTAAACTCTATGCCCTAACTTAACCTAAAACCTAACCAATTTACCCCGTAGACAGGCAGAGCCCTGAAGACGGCACCAGAACTCTATACCCTAACTCAACCTAAAACCTAACCTAAACTCTATGCCCTAACTTAACCTAAAACCTAACCAATTTACCCTGTAGACAGGCAGAGCCCTGAAGACGGCACCAGAACTCTATACCCTAACTCAACCTAAAACCTAACCTAAACTCTATGCCCTAACTTAACCTAAAACCTAACCAATTTACCCTGTAGACAGGCAGAGCCCTGAAGACGGCACCAGAGGACATGTCAGCAGATCTGGAGCTGTCCAGGTGAGTGTTGTAAGCCTGGGGACAGGTGGGCGTGGTCAGTCTAGCATCTAATTAACTCAACTAATGTTGTAAGCCTGGGGACAGGTGGGCGAGGTCAGTCTAGCATCTAATTAACTCAACTAATGTTGTAAGCCTGGGGACAGGTGGGCGAGGTCAGTCTAGCATCTAATTAACTCAACTAATGTTGTAAGCCTGGGGACAGGTGGGCGTGGTCAGTCTAGCATCTAATTAACTCAACTAATGTTGTAAGCCTGGGGACAGGTGGGCGTGGTCAGTCTAGCATCTAATTAACTCAACTAATGTTGTAAGCCTGGGGACAGGTGGGCGTGGTCAGTCTAGCATCTAATTAACTCAACTAATGTTGTAAGCCTGGGGACAGGTGGGCGTGGTCAGTCTAGCATCTAATTAACTCAACTAATGTTGTAAGCCTGGGGACAGGTGGGCGAGGTCAGTCTAGCATCTAATTAACTCAACTAATTTTGTAAGCCTGGGGACAGGTGGGCGAGGTCAGTCTAGCATCTAATTAACTCAACTAATGTTGTAAGCCTGGGGACAGGTGGGCGAGGTCAGTCTAGCATCTAATTAACTCAACTAATGTTGTAAGCCTGGGGACAGGTGGGCGAGGTCAGTCTAGCATCTAATTAACTCAACTAATGTTGTAAGCCTGGGGACAGGTGGGCGAGGTCAGTCTAGCATCTAATTAACTCAACTAATGTTGTAAGCCTGGGGACAGGTGGGCGAGGTCAGTCTAGCATCTAATTAACTCAACTAATGTTGTAAGCCTGGGGACAGGTGGGCGTGGTCAGTCTAGCATCTAATTAACTCAACTAATGTTGTAAGCCTGGGGACAGGTGGGCGTGGTCAGTCTAGCATCTAATTAACTCAACTAATTACCCGATGTTATAAGTCAGCCTCTAATTAACTCAAGGACTAATTACCCGAGGTTATAAGTCTCTAATTAACTCAACTAATTACCCGATGTTATAAGACAGCCTCTAATTAACACAACGACTAATTACCCGAGGTTTCATGAGGGCTGAGAAAAATTTCTTGCTGTCGTCTGCCTGGCTTCGCTGGTTGGCAGATCTTCTGAAGGGTTGCCACCTGTAGGGGACGACAGGGTTTAACGGGTTGTCAGAGGTGACGACAGGGTTTAACGGGTTGTCTTTATGTCACGCGTCAATAGAATGGATAAACGGGTTGGCATAGTGTTCCAAGAATGACATAACGATAACATAATGGCCTAATGGATGGCCTAATGGATGGCCTAATGGATGGCCTAATGAATGGCTTATTGGATGGCCTAATGGATGGCCTAATGGATGGCCTAATGGATGGCATAATGACCTAATGGATGGCCTAATGGATGACCTAATGGATGGCCTAATGGATGGCTTAATGGATGGCCTAATGGATGGCCTAATGGATGGCCTAATGGATGACCTAATGGATGGCCTAATGGATGGCTTAATGGATGGCCTAATGGATGGCCTAATGGATGGCCTAATGGATGGCCTAATAGATGGCCTAATGGATGGCCTAATGGATGGCATAATGACCTAATGGATGGCCTAATGGATGGCATAATGGATGGCCTAATGGATGGCCTAATGGATGGCCTAATGGATGGCCTGATGGATGACCTAATGGATGGCATAATGACCTAATGGATGGCCTAATGGATGGCCTAATGGATGGCCTAATGGATGGTCTAATGGATGGCCTTATGGATGACCTAATGGATGGCATAATGACCTAATGGATGGCCTAATGGATGGCCTAATGGATGGCCTAATGGATGGCCTAATGGATGGCATAATGACCTAATGGATGGCCTAATAGATGGCCATATGGATGGCCTAATGGATGGCCTAATGGATGGCCTAATGGATGACCTAATGGATGGCCTAATGGATGGCCTAATGGATGGCCTAATGGATGGCCTAATGGATGGCCTAATAGATGGCCTAATGGATGGCCTAATGGATGGCATAATGACCTAATGGATGGCCTAATGGATGGCCTAATGGATGGCCTAATGGATGGCCTAATGGATGGCCTAATGGATGGCCTAATGGATGGCCTGATGGATGACCTAATGGATGGCATAATGACCTAATGGATGGCCTAATGGATGGCCTAATGGATGGCCTAATGGATGACCTAATGAATGGCCTAATGGATGGCCTAATGGATGGTCTAATGGATGGCCTTATGGATGACCTAATGGATGGCATAATGACCTAATGGATGGCCTAATGGATGGCCTAATGGATGGCCTAATGGATGGCATAATGACCTAATGGATGGCCTAATAGATGGCCTTATGGATGGCCTAATGGATGGCATAATGGATGACCTAATCGATGGATAATGACCTAATGGATGGCCTAATGGATGGCCTAATGGATGGTCTAATGGATGGCCTAATGGATGGTCTAATGGATGGCCTAATGGATGGTCTTATGGATAACCTAATGGATGGCATAATGACCTAATGGATGGCCTAATGGATGGCCTAATGGATGGCCTAATGGATGGCATAATGACGTAACAGATGGCCTAATGGACGGCCTAATGGATGGCATAATGGATGACCTAATGGAGGCATAATGGATGACCTAATGGATGGCTAATGACCTAATGGATGGCCTAATGGATGGCCTAATGGGTGGCCTAATGGATGGCCGAATGGGTGGCTAATGACCTAATGGATGGCCGAATGGATGGCCTAATGGGCGGCCTAATGGATGGCCTAATGGATGGCCTAATGGATGGCCTAATGTATGGCCTAATGGATGGCCTAATGGATGACCTAATGGATGGCCTAATGGATGGCCTAATGGATGGCCTAATGGATGGACTAATGGATGGCCTAATGGATGGCCTAATAGATGGCCTAATGGATGGCCTAATGGATGGCATAATGACCTAATGGATGGCCTAATGGATGGCCTAATGGATGGCCTAATGGATGGCCTAATGGATGGCCTAATGGATGGCCTAATGGATGGCCTAATGGATGACCTAATGGATGACCTAATGGATGGCCTAATGGATGGCCTAATGGATGGTCTAATGGATGGCCTTATGGATGACCTAATGGATGGCATAATGACCTAATGGATGGCCTAATGGATGGCCTAATGGATGGCCTAATGGATGGCATAATGACCTAATGGATGGCCTAATAGATGGCCTTATGGATGGCCTAATGGATGACCTAATGGATGGCATAATGAATGACCTAATCGATGGCTAATGACCTAATGGATGGCATAATGACCTAATGGATGGCCTAATGGATGGCCTAATGGATGGCATAATGACGTAACGGATGGCCTAATGGACGGCCTAATGGATGGCCTAATGGATGGTCTAATGGATGGCCTTATGGATGACCTAATGGATGGCATAATGACCTAATGGATGGCCTAATGGATGGCCTAATGGATGGCCTAATGGATGGCCTAATGGATGGCATAATGACCTCATGGATGGCCTAATAGATGGCCATATGGATGGCCTAATGGATGGCCTAATGGATGGCCTAATGGATGACCTAATGGATGGCCTAATGGATGGCCTAATGGATGGCCTAATGGATGGCCTAATGGATGGCCTAATGGATGGCCTAATAGATGGCCTAATGGATGGCCTAATGGATGGCCTAATGACCTAATGGATGGCCTAATGGATGGCCTAATGGATGGCCTAATGGATGGCCTAATGGATGGCCTAATGGATGGCCTAATGGATGGCCTGATGGATGACCTAATGGATGGCATAATGACCTAATGGATGGCCTAATGGATGGCCTAATGGATGGCCTAATGGATGACCTAATGAATGGCCTAATGGATGGCCTAATGGATGGTCTAATGGATGGCCTTATGGATGACCTAATGGATGGCATAATGACCTAATGGATGGCCTAATGGATGGCCTAATGGATGGCCTAATGGATGGCATAATGACCTAATGGATGGCCTAATAGATGGCCTTATGGATGGCCTAATGGATGGCATAATGGATGACCTAATCGATGGCTAATGACCTAATGGATGGCCTAATGGATGGCCTAATGGATGGCCTAATGGATGGCCTAATGGATGGTCTAATGGATGGCCTAATGGATGGTTTATGGATAACCTAATGGATGGCATAATGACCTAATGGATGGCCTAATGGATGGCCTAATGGATGGCCTAATGGATGGCATAATGACGTAACAGATGGCCTAATGGACGGCCTAATGGATGGCCTAATGGATGACCTAATGGATGGCATAATGGATGACCTAATGGATGGCTAATGACCTAATGGATGGCCTAAAGGATGGCCTAATGGGTGGCCTAATGGATGGCCTAATGGGTGGCTAATGACCTAATGGATGGCCTAATGGATGGCCTAATGGGCGGCCTAATGGATGGCCTAATGGATGGCCTAATGGATGGCCTAATGTATGGCCTAATGGATGGCCTAATGGATGACCTAATGGATGGCCTAATGGATGGCCTAATGGATGGCCTAATGGATGGACTAATGGATGGCCTAATGGATGGCCTAATAGATGGCCTAATGGATGGCCTAATGGATGGCATAATGACCTAATGGATGGCCTAATGGATGGCCTAATGGATGGCCTAATGGATGGCCTAATGGATGGCCTAATGGATGGCCTAATGGATGACCTAATGGATGACCTAATGGATGGCCTAATGGATGGCCTAATGGATGGTCTAATGGATGGCCTTATGGATGACCTAATGGATGGCATAATGACCTAATGGATGGCCTAATGGATGGCCTAATGGATGGCCTAATGGATGGCATAATGACCTAATGGATGGCCTAATAGATGGCCTTATGGATGGCCTAATGGATGACCTAATGGATGGCATAATGAATGACCTAATCGATGGCTAATGACCTAATGGATGGCATAATGACCTAATGGATGGCCTAATGGATGGCCTAATGGATGGCCTAATTGATGGCATAATGACGTAACGGATGGCCTAATGGACGGCCTAATGGATGGCCTAATGGATGACCTAATGGATGGCATAATGGATGACCTAATGGATGGCTAATGACCTAATGGATGGCCTAATGGATGGCCTAATGGGTGGCCTAATGGATGGCCTAATGGAGGGCCTAATGGATGGCCTAATGGATGGCCTAATGGATGGCTTAATGGATGGCCTAATGGATGGCCTAATGGATGGCCTAATGGATGGCCTAATGGATGGCTAATGACCTAATGGATGGCCTAATGGATGGCCTAATGGGTGGCTAATGACCTAATGGATGGCCTAATGGATGGCCTAATGTGTGGCCGAATGGATGGCCTAATGGAGGGCCTAATGGATGGCCTAATGGATGGCCTAATGGATGGCCTAATGGATGGCCTAATAGATGGCCTAATGGATGGCCTAATAGATGGCCTAATGGATGGCCTAATTGATGGCCTAATGGATGGCCTAATGGATGGCCTAATAGATGGCCTTATGGCCTAACTTACTTTTCTTGCACGAAGATAAGCGGGTACTCAAACTTCGGGCTTGATTTAACTGGTTCTGACGTCACTTCCTTCCTCATCTGCGTAACTGGTCTCTGAAAATGAAGTCATCGAGGTCATTAATATCGTTAACGTGCTTTGAATATATTTCAAAATAATTTGTTTCTAGTAACGTATACAATATGACCTAACCTGTAAATTATGGACACTACCAGCTGTCTACTGACCACTACCAGCTGTCTACTGACTGTCTACTAACCACACACTACCAGCTGTCTACTGACCACACACTACCAGCTGTCTACTGACCACACACTACCAGCTGTCTACTGACCACTACCAGCTGTCTACTGACCACTACCAGCTGTCTACTGACCACACACTACCAGCTGTCTACTGACCACACACTACTAACTGTCTACTGACCACACACTACCAACTGTCTACTGACCACACACTACCAACTGTTTACTGACCACCCACTACCAACTGTCTACTGACCACACACTACCAGCTGTCTACTGACCACACACTACCAACTATCTACTGACCACTACCAGCTGTCTACTGACCACACACTACCACCTGTCTACGGACCACACACTACTAGCTGTCTACTGACCACACACTACCAACTGTCTACTGACCACACACTACCAGCTGTCTACTGACCAAACACTACCACCTGTCTACGGACCACACACTACTAGCTGTCTACTGACCACTACCAGCTGTCTACTGACCACACACTACCAGCTGTCTACTGACCACACACTACCAGCTGTCTACTGACCACACAATACCAGCTGTCTACTGACCACACACTACCAGCTGTCTACTGACCACACAATACCACCTGTCTACGGACCACACACTACTAGCTGTCTACTGACCACTACCAGCTGTCTACTGACCAGACACTACCAGCTGTCTACTGACCACACACTACCAGCTGTCTACTGACTACACACTACCAGCTGTCTACTGACCACACAATACCAGCTGTCTACTGACCACACACTACCAGCTATCTACTGACCAGACACTACCAGCTGCCTACTGACCACTATTAGCTGTCTACTGACCACACACTACCAGCTGTCTACTGACCACACACTACCAGCTGTCTACTGACCACACACTACCAGCTGTCTACTGACCACTACCAGCTGTCTACTGACCACACACTACCAACTGTCTACTGACCACTACCAGCTGTCTACTGACCACTACCAGCTGTCTACTGACCACTACCAACTGTCTACTGACTACTACTTGTTGTCTACTGACTACACACTACCAGCTGTCTACCGTCCACTAACAGCTGTCTACTGACCTCACACTACCAGCTATCTACTGCCCAGACACTACCAGCTGTCTACTTACCACTACTAGCTGTCTACTGACCACACACTACCAGCTGTCTACTGACCACACACTACCAGCTGTCTACTGACCACACACTACCAACTGTCTACTGACCACTACCAGCTGTCTACTGACCACACACTACCAGCTGTCTACTGAGCACACACTACAAGCTGGCTACTGACCACTACCAGTTGTCTACTGACCACACACTACCAGCTGTCTACTGACCACACACTACCAGCTGTCTACTGACCAAACACTACCAGCTGTCTACTGACCACTACTAGCTGTCTACTGACCACTACTAGATGTCTACTGACCACTACTAGCTGTCTACTGACCAGTACTAGCTGTCTACTGACCACACACTACCTGCTGTCTACTGACCACTACTAGCTGTCTACTGACCACACACTACCAGCTGTCTACTGACCAAACACTACCAGCTGTCTACTGACCACACACTACCAACTGTCTACTGACCACTACTAGCTGTCTACTGACCACTACTAGATGTCTACTGACCACTACTAGCTGTCTACTGACCAGTACTAGCTGTCTACTGACCACACACTACCAGCTGTCTACTGACCACTACTAGCTGTCTACTGACCACACACTACCAGCTGTCTACTGACCAAACACTACCAGCTGTCTACTGACCACACACTACCAGCTGTCTACTGACCAAACACTACCAGCTGTCTACTGACCACACACTACCAGCTGTCTACTGACCAAACACTACCAGCTGTCTACTGACCACACACTACCAGCTGTCTACTGACCAAACACTACCAGCTGTCTACTGACCAAACACTATCAGCTGTCTACTGACCAAACACTACCAGCTGTCTACTGACCACACACATTCCAGCTGTCTACTGACCACACACTACCACCTGTCTACTGACCACACACTACTAGCTGTCTACTCATCACTACCAGCTGTCTACTTATCACTACCAGCTGTCTACTGACCACTACCAGCTGTCTACTGACCTCCACTATGTCAACAGGCAGTGAGGCCGAGCTGTCTATTTCTTCAATGGACGAGTGATTGACAGCTTTACTCTGACCAAAGTAGCCAATGAAATTCCCGCTTACAACAGACCAAACTCTGAAAAATAGTCACGTGATGTAACAGCTGTCAGACCAACAGACACCACCAACAGACACCAACAGACACCGACAAACACCAACATACACCACCAACAGACACCAGCAACAGACACCAACAGACACCAACATACAGACACCAACATACAGACACCAACAGACACCACCAACAGACACTAAACACCAACAAACACCAACAAACACTAACATACACCAACAGACACCAATAGACACCAACAGACACCAACAAACACCAACAGACACCAACAAACACCAACAAACACCAACAAACACCAACAAACACCAACAAACACTAGCATACACCAACAGACACCAACAGACACCAACAAACACCAACAGACACCAGCTGTTAAACTTGCGATGGAAAGCAAGACAATTTAAACATAACCAGATGAGGTAGTCGTTTGAACATGACCTTGACATCTCACCTGTTGGAGGTAGTCATGTGAACATGACCTTGACATCTTACCTGTTCGAGGTAGTCATGTGAACATGACCTTGACATCTCACCTGTTGGAGGTAGTCATGTGAACATGACCTTGACATCTCACCTGATGGAGGTAGTCAGGTGAACATGACCTTGACATCTCACCTGATGGAGGTAGTCATGTGAACATGACCTTGACATCTCACCTGATGGAGTCTGGTAAACATGACATTGACATCTCAGGAGTCTGGTGAACATGACCTTGACATCTCACCTGATGTAGGTAGTCAGGTGAACATGACATTGACATCTTAGGAGTCTGGTGAACATGACCTTGACATCTCACCTGATGTAGGTAGTCAGGTGAACATGACATTGACATCTTAGGAGTCTGGTGAACATGACCTTGACATCTCACCTGATGTAGGTAGTCAGGTGAACATGACATTGACATCTTAGGAGTCTGGTGAACATGACCTTGACATCTCACCTGATGGAGGTATCTGATGATGCCGAGTACACGAGCTGTGTTGACGTATCCATGGCAACGGACACTATTTTACTGCCGTGTGCTCTCCAGAAGACGATTTGCTTGATGTGGTTCTGACAAAACAAAAGTCGCTAATACAGTGATAGACACACATTGCTGCATATTAACTCGACACAAAAAAAAGTTTGCTATCCTTAAGAATACCATCCGAGCTAGATACGAAATCTAAAATCATTGGCATGAATATGGTGGTGGGGTTAGCAGGAAGGGAAGTACCTCATCTTTTTTGTGGGGCTCCGCCAAAAATTTCCGGATTTTCCAAACACTAATGTAACCTTCTGCAGGAGAGATAAAGAACATTTGTGGAGTAAGTCAAATTCTACATGAAAGTCTGGTTAAGTTTTGTGATAAATGACGTTCTGGCAAAACTAAGATGAAGCTCAATTATTAAGGTAAAAGATCTGACTTAATCGTTGATTAGATTGTGTCGTTAATTAGCAATTAGATTGCGTCTTACTGTAGAAGGTGACCTACTTAAGCAAGTGACCCACTTAAAATTGTGACCTACATAAGCAGATAACCTACTTGCGTAGGTGACCTACTTGTGTCCCCTGCCACCAGAAGGCCGGCCTTGACCTGGCAGCAGATTGACGTCACAGGTAACCCAGGTTTTGGAGTGGCCGGTGAAATCTCTCTCAAGATGGCGCCCTGTCGTGTGGAACAAACGTGAGCTTCAAACTGAATCAAAACATTTTAAACTTAAGTAGCTCGCTGAATCAAAAATATTTTGACTTAAGTAGCTCGCTGAATCAAAAACATTTTGACTTAAGTAGCTCGCTGCATCAAAAACATTTTGACTTAAGTAGCTCGCTGAATCAAAAACATTTTGACCTAAGTGGCTCGCTGAATACAAAAACATTTTGACTTAAGTAGCTCGCTGAATCAAAAACATTTTGACTTAAGTAGCTCGCTGAATCAAAAACGTTTTAACCTAAGTAGCTCGCTAAATCAAAAACATTTTGACTTAAGTAGCTCGCTGAATTAAAAACATTTTGAGTTAAGTAGCTCGCTGAATCTAAAACATTTTGACTTAAGTAGCTCGCTGAATCAAAAACATTTTGACTTAAGTAGCTCGCTGGACATTCTTCTTTTAAAACCTATTTCTGCTGTTCCGGAAGTTTCTCTCATTTGAAAACATGTTAATAAAAAGTCTAGTGACAATTTAAGCGCAATTTCCTTATGTTATCTAAAAATAGATATAATGCTGGGGTGCGTTCAAGCTAGGAGAACGATCGGTTTGTTGGTGTTTATGTAATTTTAAAAAAAAAATTGTGACAGAACGAAAGGATATTTTTGAAAACTTTCTTCTGCAATATTGTTCTAAATTATGGCAGGAATCGATTGGTAAATGTTTCAGTCGCTAAGTGGTCTGGTTGCCGAGATATGGGCCAAAAACTGCATTTTTTCGAGGTTTTTTGGCTTTTCCGGAAAATCCAGGAAGGAATTCCGGGAATTTTTTTGGCCCTCGGAACTTGCTTAACATATTTGCTTTTGGAACTAGTCCTCGATATTGCTTTGTTGAGGAGGAGATAAGACTTAAAGCTGCGGACACACATCCATACATCCAGAAATTTCTAGGTTTTTTGGCTTTTCCGGGAAATCCAGGAAGGAATTCCGGGAATTTTGTTTGTGCCCACAATCATCCTCGGAACTTGTTTAACATATTTGCTTTTGGATATTGCTTCGTTGAGGAGGAGATACAACTTAAAGCTGCGGTAAAGCTGCGGACACACATCCATTCATTCATTCATCCATCCATCCAGAAATAACGAATTAATAATCGCAATTCCAGTATGGAAATTGCGCTAAAAAAATAAATATCAGGTTTATTTGAAGTCTGCTTCCTATTCAATGACTCCCCAGTATGACTCTCCCGTATGACTTCTCTTTTCTGACTTCCCCAGCCTGACTTTCTCTGCATGCCTCTTCAGCATGACTCCCCTGTTTAACTCCCCTGTCCTCCCCTGTACTCCCCTGTATAACTCCCCTGTATGACTCCCTGTATGACTCCCTGTATGACTCCCTGTATGACTCCATGAACGACTCCCTGTATGACTCCATGAACGACTCCCTGTATGACTCCATGAACGACTCCCTGTATAACTCCCTGTATGACTCCCTGTATGACTCCCTGTATGACTCCATGAACGACTCCCTGTATGACTCCCTGTATGACTCCATGAACGACTCCCTGTATGACGCCCTGTATGACTCCCTGTATGACTCCCTGTATGACTCCATGAACGACTCCCTGTATGACTCCCTGTATGACTCCCTGTATGACTCCCCTGTATGACTCCCCTGTATGACTCCCCTGTATGACGCCCTGTATGACTCACGTTAAGATCCCAGAATCTGACGACCGAGTCTTGATGTGCAGACACAAGGATGACGTTCTGCTCACACTCCGCTGGCTCGCCCAGTGAATCGTCGTCTGCTGGCCCAGCTTCCTTTGGCTCGTCTGCTGATGTGAACTCCGATTGCGCAGGCGCTAAATGACAGACGGTTAAACAAACATGGTAGTTGAAGGTAATCAGAGGGTAATGAAAAATCAGATGGTGATTAGATTATCATTAGTTTAAGTTAATCAGAAAGTAATTAGATATAAAACCTTTTCAGGTGAACTTTGATTGATTTTCCCTAACTGTTGACAAAATTCGCACAACAAGTATCTGATTACATTTGCCAGATTACATTTGCCGTAATACACCCCTGACCCTGGTGCTGTTCGACTGTCTACCTTACCGGTATTCATGACGTCATCCTCTGGAGCGTCCACCTGGATACTGATTGATGAATCCACAGGTAGGTCAAGGACATCACCGCCATCTTGGTTGTCCCCAGCAACCAACAACCTGCTGCCGTCGTCTCCCTCTACCCCCGGAACAGCCTCAGGTTCCAGCTGCTAATTAGTTGACATGTTTTAGATTTTAACAGCTAATTAGTTGACACGTGTTTTAGATTTAAAAAGCTTATTAGTTGACACATGTTTTAGATTTTAACAGCTAATTAGTTGACACTTGTTTTAGATTTTAACAGCTCATTAGTTGACACATGTTTTAGATTTTAACAGCTAATTAGTTGACACATGTTTTAGATTTTAACAGCTCATTAGATCATCGACATTTTAACAGCTAATTAGTTGACACATGTTTTAGATTTTAACAGCTCATTAGATCATCGACATTTTAACAGCTAATTAGTTGGCATATGTTTTAGATTTTAACAGCTAATTAGTTGACACATGTTTTAGATTTTAACAGCTCATTAGATCATCGACATTTTAACAGCTAATCAGTTGACATATGTTTTAGATTTTAACAGCTAATTAGTTGACATATGTTTTAGATTTTAACAGCACATTAGACCATCGACATTTTAACAGCTAATTAGTTGACATATGTTTTAGATTTTAACAGCTCATTAGATCGAAATTTTAACACCTAATTAGATTATCGAAATTTTAACAGCTAATTGGATTATCGAAATTTTAACACCTAATAAGATTATCGACATTTTAAAAGGTGTACACATTGAAATAAAATGGCGTTAAGGTTGTGAAATAAAATGTGTTAAGAATTGAACGGATTGAAAATATTTTATCAACAACTTTAAACCTGGCATTGCTACAGAACTAATCACTTTATGTGTTTACAAGGTGCCATTACACTGACATAGTTCTTTGGTTAAGTTCGCTGGGACATGATGATGTCTTAACACTGACATAGATCTAGTGTTGGTAGCTGGGACATGATGATGTTGGTAGCTGGGACATGATGGTGTCTTAACACTGACATAGATCTAGTGTTGGTAGCTGGGACATGATGGTGTTGGTAGCTGGGACATGATGGTGTTGGTAGCTGGGACATGATGGTGTCTAAACACTGACATAGATCTAGTGTTGGTAGCTGGGACATGATGGTGTCTTAACACTGACATAGATCTAGTGTTGGTAGCTGGGACATGATGGTGTTGGTAGCTGGGACATGATGGTGTTGGTAGCTGGGACATGATGGTGTCTAAACACTGACATAGATCTAGTGTTGGTAGCTGGGACATGATGGTGTTGGTAGCTGGGACATGATGATGTTGGTAGCTGGGACATGATGGTGTCTAAACACTGACATAGATCTAGTGTTGGTAGCTGGGACATGATGGTGTTGGTAGCTGGGACATGATGATGTTGGTAGCTGGGACATGATGGTGTCTAAACACTGACAAAGATCTAGTGTTGGTAGCTGGGACATGATGGTGTCTTAACACTGACATAGATCTAGTGTTGGTAGCTGGGACATGATGGTGTTGGTAGCTGGGACATGATGGTGTTGGTAGCTGGGACATGATGGTGTCTAAACACTGACATAGATCTAGTGTTGGTAGCTGGGACATGATGGTGTTGGTAGCTGGGACATGATGATGTTGGTAGCTGGGACATGATGATGTTGGTAGCTGGGACATGATGGTGTCTTAACACTGACATAGATCTAGTGTTGGTAGCTGGGACATGATGGTGTTGGTAGCTGGGACATGATGATGTTGGTAGCTGGGACATGATGATGTTGGTAGCTGGGACATGATGGTGTCTTAACACTGACATAGATCTAGTGTTGGTAGCTGGGACATGATGGTGTTGGTAGCTGGGACATGATGGTGTTGGTAGCTGGGACATGATGGTGTTGGTAGCTGGGACATGATGGTGTTGGTAGCTGGGACATGATGATGTTGGTAGCTGGGACATGATGGTGTTGGTAGCTGGGACATGATGGTGTTGGTAGCTGGGACATGATGGTGTTGGTAGCTGGGACATGATGATGTTGGTAGCTGGGACATGATGATGTCTTAACACTGACAAAGATCTAGTGTTGGTAGCTGGGACATGATGGTGTTGGTAGCTGGGACATGATGATGTTGGTAGCTGGGACATGATGGTGTTGGTAGCTGGGACATGATGATGTTGGTAGCTGGGACATGATGGTGTTGGTAGCTGGGACATGATGGTGTTGGTAGCTGGGACATGATGGTGTTGGTAGCTGGGACATGATGATGTTGGTAGCTGGGACATGATGATGTCTTAACACTGACAAAGATCTAGTGTTGGTAGCTGGGACATGATGGTGTTGGTAGCTGGGACATGATGATGTTGGTAGCTGGGACATGATGGTGTTGGTAGCTGGGATATGATGGTGTTGGTAGCTGGGACATGATGATGTCTTAACACTGACATAGATCTAGTGTTGGTAGCTGGGACATGATGATGTCTTAACACTGACATAGATCTAGTGTTGGTAGCTGGGACATGATGATGTTGGTAGCTGGGACATGATGGTGTTGGTAGCTGGGATATGATAGTGTCTAAACACTGACAAAGATCTAGTGTTGGTAGCTGGGACATGATGATGTCTTAACACTGACATAGACCTAGTGTTGGTAGCTGGGACATGATGATGTTGGTAGCTGGGACATGATGGTGTTGGTAGCTGGGACATGATGGTGTTGGTAGCTGGGACATGATGGTGTTGGTAGCTGGGACATGATGGTGTTGGTAGCTGGGACATGATGATGTTGGTAGCTGGGACATGATGATGTCTTAACACTGACAAAGATCTAGTGTTGGTAGCTGGGACATGATGGTGTTGGTAGCTGGGACATGATGATGTTGGTAGCTGGGACATGATGGTGTTGGTAGCTGGGACATGATGATGTTGGTAGCTGGGACATGATGGTGTTGGTAGCTGGGACATGATGGTGTTGGTAGCTGGGACATTATGGTGTTGGTAGCTGGGACATGATGATGTTGGTAGCTGGGACATGATGATGTCTTAACACTGACAAAGATCTAGTGTTGGTAGCTGGGACATGATGGTGTTGGTAGCTGGGACATGATGATGTTGGTAGCTGGGACATGATGGTGTTGGTAGCTGGGATATGATGGTGTTGGTAGCTGGGACATGATGATGTCTTAACACTGACATAGATCTAGTGTTGGTAGCTGGGACATGATGATGTCTTAACACTGACATAGATCTAGTGTTGGTAGCTGGGACATGATGATGTTGGTAGCTGGGACATGATGGTGTTGGTAGCTGGGATATGATGGTGTCTAAACACTGACAAAGATCTAGTGTTGGTAGCTGGGACATGATGATGTTGGTAGCTGGGACATGATGGTGTTGGTAGCTGGGATATGATGGTGTCTAAACACTGACAAAGATCTAGTGTTGGTAGCTGGGACATGATGATGTCTTAACACTGACATAGACCTAGTGTTGGTAGCTGGGACATGATGATGTTGGTAGCTGGGATATGATGGTGTTGGTAGCTGGGATATGATGGTGTTGGTAGCTGGGACATGATGATGTTGGTAGCTGGGACATGATGATGTTGGTAGCTGGGACATGATGGTGTTGGTAGCTGGGACATGATGGTGTTGGTAGCTGGGACATGATGGTGTTGGTAGCTGGGACATGATGATGTTGGTAGCTGGGACATGATGATGTCTTAACACTGACAAAGATCTAGTGTTGGTAGCTGGGACATGATGGTGTTGGTAGCTGGGACATGATGATGTTGGTAGCTGGGACATGATGGTGTTGGTAGCTGGGACATGATGATGTTGGTAGCTGGGACATGATGGTGTTGGTAGCTGGGACATGATGGTGTTGGTAGCTGGGACATGATGGTGTTGGTAGCTGGGACATGATGATGTTGGTAGCTGGGACATGATGATGTCTTAACACTGACAAAGATCTAGTGTTGGTAGCTGGGACATGATGGTGTTGGTAGCTGGGACATGATGATGTTGGTAGCTGGGACATGATGGTGTTGGTAGCTGGGATATGATGGTGTTGGTAGCTGGGACATGATGATGTCTTAACACTGACATAGATCTAGTGTTGGTAGCTGGGACATGATGATGTCTTAACACTGACATAGATCTAGTGTTGGTAGCTGGGACATGATGATGTTGGTAGCTGGGACATGATGGTGTTGGTAGCTGGGATATGATGGTGTCTAAACACTGACAAAGATCTAGTGTTGGTAGCTGGGACATGATGATGTTGGTAGCTGGGACATGATGGTGTTGGTAGCTGGGATATGATAGTGTCTAAACACTGACAAAGATCTAGTGTTGGTAGCTGGGACATGATGATGTCTTAACACTGACATAGACCTAGTGTTGGTAGCTGGGACATGATGATGTTGGTAGCTGGGACATGATGGTGTTGGTAGCTGGGACATGATGGTGTTGGTAGCTGGGACATGATGGTGTTGGTAGCTGGGACATGATGGTGTTGGTAGCTGGGACATGATGATGTTGGTAGCTGGGACATGATGATGTCTTAACACTGACAAAGATCTAGTGTTGGTAGCTGGGACATGATGGTGTTGGTAGCTGGGACATGATGATGTTGGTAGCTGGGACATGATGGTGTTGGTAGCTGGGACATGATGATGTTGGTAGCTGGGACATGATGGTGTTGGTAGCTGGGACATGATGGTGTTGGTAGCTGGGACATTATGGTGTTGGTAGCTGGGACATGATGATGTTGGTAGCTGGGACATGATGATGTCTTAACACTGACAAAGATCTAGTGTTGGTAGCTGGGACATGATGGTGTTGGTAGCTGGGACATGATGATGTTGGTAGCTGGGACATGATGGTGTTGGTAGCTGGGATATGATGGTGTTGGTAGCTGGGACATGATGATGTCTTAACACTGACATAGATCTAGTGTTGGTAGCTGGGACATGATGATGTCTTAACACTGACATAGATCTAGTGTTGGTAGCTGGGACATGATGATGTTGGTAGCTGGGACATGATGGTGTTGGTAGCTGGGATATGATGGTGTCTAAACACTGACAAAGATCTAGTGTTGGTAGCTGGGACATGATGATGTTGGTAGCTGGGACATGATGGTGTTGGTAGCTGGGATATGATGGTGTCTAAACACTGACAAAGATCTAGTGTTGGTAGCTGGGACATGATGATGTCTTAACACTGACATAGACCTAGTGTTGGTAGCTGGGACATGATGATGTTGGTAGCTGGGATATGATGGTGTTGGTAGCTGGGATATGATGGTGTTGGTAGCTGGGACATGATGATGTTGGTAGCTGGGACATGATGATGTTGGTAGCTGGGATATGATGATGTTGGTAGCTGGGACATGATGATGTTGGTAGCTGGGACATGATGATGTTGGTAGCTGGGACATGATGGTGTTGGTAGCTGGGACATGATGGTGTTGGTAGCTGGGACATGATGGTGTTGGTAGCTGGGACATGATGATGTTGGTAGCTGGGATATGATGGTGTTGGTAGCTGGGATATGATGGTGTTGGTAGCTGGGACATGATTATGTTGGTAGCTGGGACATGATGATGTTGGTAGCTGGGACATGATGATGTTGGTAGCTGGGATATGATGGTGTTGGTAGCTGGGACATGATGATGTTGGTAGCTGGGACATGATGATGTTGGTAGCTGGGACATGATGGTGTTGGTAGCTGGGACATGATGGTGTTGGTAGCTGGGACATGATGGTGTTGGTAGCTGGGATATGATGGTGTTGGTAGCTGGGACATGATGATGTCTTAACAATGACATAGATCTAGTGTTGGTAGCTGGGACATGACGATGTCTTAACACTGACATAGACCTAGTGTTGGTAGCTGGGACATGATGATGTTGGTAGCTGGGATATGATGGTGTTGGTAGCTGGGATATGATGGTGTTGGTAGCTGGGACATGATTATGTTGGTAGCTGGGACATGATGATGTTGGTAGCTGGGACATGATGATGTTGGTAGCTGGGATATGATGGTGTTGGTAGCTGGGACATGATGATGTTGGTAGCTGGGACATGATGATGTTGGTAGCTGGGACATGATGATGTTGGTAGCTGGGGCATGATGATGTTGGTAGCTGGGACATGATGGTGTTGGTAGCTGGGACATGATGATGTCTCAACACTGACATAGACCTAGTGTTGGTAGCCGGGGCATGATGGTGTTGGTAGCTGGGACATGATGATGTTGGTAGCTGGGACATGATGATGTTGGTAGCTGGGGCATGATGATGTTGGTAGCTGGGACATGATGGTGTTGGTAGCTGGGACATGATGGTGTTGGTAGCTGGGACATGATGATGTTGGTAGCTGGGACATGATGGTGTTGGTAGCTGGGATATGATGGTGTTGGTAGCTGGGATATGATGGTGTTGGTAGCTGGGACATGATGATGTTGGTAGCTGGGACATGATGGTGTTGGTAGCTGGGATATGATGGTGTCTAAACACTGACAAAGATCTAGTGTTGGTAGCTGGGACATGATGATGTTGGTAGCTGGGACATGATGGTGTTGGTAGCTGGGATATGATGGTGTTGGTAGCTGGGACATGATGGTGTTGGTAGCTGGGACATGATGATGTCTTAACACTGACATAGATCTAGTGTTGGTAGCTGGGACATGATGATGTCTTAACACTGACAAAGATCTAGTGTTGGTAGCTGGGACATGATGATGTTGGTAGCTGGGACATGATGGTGTTGGTAGCTGGGATATGATGGTGTCTTAACACTGACATAGATCTAGTGTTGGTAGCTGGGACATGATGATGTTGGTAGCTGGGACATGATGGTGTTGGTAGCTGGGACATGATGGTGTTGGTAGCTGGGACATGATGATGTCTTAACACTGACATAGATCTAGTGTTGGTAGCTGGGACATGATGGTGTTGGTAGCTGGGACATGATGGTGTTGGTAGCTGGGACATGATGGTGTTGGTAGCTGGGACATGATGGTGTTGGTAGCTGGGATATGATGGTGTCTTAACACTGACATAGATCTAGTGTTGGTAGCTGGGACATGATGATGTTGGTAGCTGGGACATGATGATGTTGGTAGCTGGGACATGATGATGTTGGTAGCTGGGACATGATGGTGTTGGTAGCTGGGACATGATGGTGTTGGTAGCTGGGACATGATGATGTTGGTAGCTGGGACATGATGATGTCTAAACACTGACAAAGATCTAGTGTTGGTAGCTGGGACATGATGGTGTTGGTAGCTGGGACATGATGATGTTGGTAGCTGGGACATGATGGTGTTGGTAGCTGGGACATGATGGTGTTGGTAGCTGGGACATGATGGTGTTGGTAGCTGGGACATGATGATGTTGGTAGCTGGGACATGATGATGTCTAAACACTGACATAGATCTAGTGTTGGTAGCTGGGACATGATGGTGTTGGTAGCTGGGACATGATGGTGTTGGTAGCTGGGACATGATGATGTTGGTAGCTGGGACATGATGATGTCTAAACACTGACATAGATCTAGTGTTGGTAGCTGGGACATGATGGTGTTGGTAGCTGGGACATGATGGTGTTGGTAGCTGGGACATGATGGTGTTGGTAGCTGGGACATGATGATGTTGGTAGCTGGGACATGATGGTGTTGGTAGCTGGGACATGATGTCTTAACATCATAGTTCTCAGAGTGTCAGATATGTCCCCAATAGACAGGGATGAAATGCCCCCACCCCACGCACACTGGCATTGGACAGGCCGCCCATGTAATAGATGGTATTGGGGAGTTTTTAGTCACGTGACTACTGGGTCACATGTTACCTGCTGACTCCCATCTGTGACGTCATCGCCTGTGGAATTCTTCTTGTCCTTTGGATTTCTGAGAACACAAAAAAAAATTAATTGGAGCAGTAAAGGGTGGTGGGACGGTGTGTGTGTGTGTGGGGGGGGGGGGGTGTTGATCGTAATGTATCTATATCTGACACCTCGTTTTTGTCATCTAGATATGACACCTGGGTTTTGACATCTAGATCTGACTCACCTTTGTTTTGACATCTAGATCTGACACCTGGGTTTTGACATCTAGATCTGACTCACCTTTGTTTTGACATCTAGATCTGACACCTGGGTTTTGACATCTAGATCTGACTCACCTTTGTTTTGACACCTGTGCCAGGCTGTAGGACAGGGCAATGACCTGCGTCACTTTCTTCTTGGCAGCAACGGTCTCGTCAGTGACGTCATCTGTTGGTGGGGTGAAGCTGAAAGATGGAACAGCGGTCTTGAAGTGCCAGAGACACAACACCAAGTGTTGATATGGAATATTGCTGAGTGGGGGTATTGCTGGGGCAGTGTTGTGTAGCTGGGGCAGTGTTGTATAGCTGGGGCAGTGCTGTATAGCTGGGGCAGTGTTGTATAGCTGGGGCAGTGTTGTATAGCTGGGGCAGTGCTGTATAGCTGGAAGTATTGGGGTAGTGTTGTATAGCTGGGGCAGTGCTGTATAGCTGGAAGTATTGGGGTAGTGTTGTATAGCTGGGGCAGTGCTGTATAGCTGGAAGTATTGGGGTAGTGTTGTATAGCTGGGGCAGTGCTGTATAGCTGGAAGTATTGGGGTAGTGTTGTATAGCTGGGGCAGTGCTGTATAGCTGGAAGTATTGGGGTAGTGTTGTATAGCTGGGGCAGTGCTGTATAGCTGGAAGTATTGGGGTAGTGTTGTATAGCTGGGGCAGTGCTGTATAGCTGGAAGTATTGGGGTAGTGTTGTATAGCTGGGGCAGTGCTGTATAGCTGGAAGTATTGGGGTAGTGTTGTATAGCTGGGGCAGTGCTGTATAGCTGGAAGTATTGGGGTAGTGTTGTATAGCTGGGGCAGTCTTGTATAGCTGGGGCAGTGCTGTATAGCTGGAAGTATTGGGGTAGTGTTGTATAGCTGGGGCAGTGCTGTATAGCTGGAAGTATTGGGGTAGTGTTGTATAGCTGGGGCAGTGCTGTATAGCTGGAAGTATTGGGGTAGTGTTGTATAGCTGGGGCAGTGTTGTATAGCTGGAAGTATTGGGGTAGTGTTGTATAGCTGGGGCAGTGCTGTATAGCTGGAAGTATTGGGGTAGTGTTGTATAGCTGGGGCAGTGTTGTATAGCTGGAAGTATTGGGGTAGTGTTGTATAGCTGGAAGTATTGGGGTAGTGTTGTATGATTGACTAACATTTTAACAGCCGCCATTTTGTGTGTCGACCAGATGATGATGGCACCACTGACAGTTCCAGTGGCGACCTCTGTTGGACTGATACACGTCATGCAGGTCACCTCAAGGTCATCTGGACGCTGTGGGACGTACAAGAGATCAATGGAAATCATGTATGTGTGACAGGATAAGACAAATGGTCTCAGGACAGTTGTAGACACCTGCCTGCTACACCTGATAGAGACACATGCGTGTAGCACCTGACAGTTACACCTGCCTGCTACACCTGACAGGGACACCTGCCTGCTACACCTGACAGTCTGAGAGAGACACCTGCCTACTACACCTAATAGAGACACATGCGTGTAGCACCTGACAGATGTAAACACCTGCGACTATATACCTTAGCGCCCCCAATGCTGGGCAGGGGGTCGGTGCGGTGGAATGATCGCCTGAGGGTCAGGTGTTTGCCGCTACGGTTGGCTGCCACCTGGCTGTCCGTGGACACGGCAGTTCTAGAACTTTTTGCCAGTCTCCACCGGCCCGTCAGTTCCATCAGCTGGACCAGTCTGCTGCTGTCCCGGGCATCCTGCAAGTACAAGAACAATCCAAGAGGTCACCACAGGCTACAGCGGTCACCACTGGACCAAGTGGTCACCACACGCTGCAGTAGTCACCACTGGACCAAGTGGTCACCACACGCTGCAGTAGTACCACTGGTTGCAGTAGTCACCACTGGACCAAGTGGTCACCACTGGACCAAGTGGTCACCACAGGCTGCAGTAGTCACCACTGGACCAAGGGGTCACCACTGGACATAGTGGTCACCACTGGACCAAGGGGTCACCACAGGCTGCAGTAGTCACCACTGGTCCAAGTGGTCACCACTTGTCCAAGTTATTTGTCACCAAATTAATGTTTGATTTAAACAGTCAATTACAAGTAATTAAACCACAGGTTAATGACCAGTAAATCTGTTACATTAACTCACCAGATAAATGACCCACTTATTGGTGACCTTGAACTCACCAGGTAAATGACCAACTTTTAGTTGACCTTGAACTCACCAGGTAAATGACCCACTTATTGGTGACCTTGAAATCACCAGGTAAATTAACAACTTTTTGTTGACCTTGAACTCACCAGGTAAATGACCAATGTGTTGTTGACCTTGAACTCACCAGGTAAATGACCGACTTTTGTTGACCTTGAACTCACCAGGTAAATGACCAGCTTTTTGTTGACCTTGAACTCACCAGGTAAATGACCAACTTTTTGTTGACCTTGAACTCACCAGGTAAATGACCAACTTTTTGTTGACCGTGTGCACCAGGATGAGGTTATCTGACCTTGACCTAATGCAGACAAGGGCATTGACCCCGCGGTCAGGATGGAAGCTGGAGAGAGGGCTGGCCATGGACTTGATCATCTGACCCGCACCGAAGTTCCAGACTTTGATGGAGCCTGCATCAGATTTGTGACGTTAATTGAAGGGTCATTATTAATAGACACATCGTGACCGTGTCTATAAATAACTTTATTACTACCTGACAGTGATCATCACGTGACTTACCATCGCTGGCACCCGTGACTAGCTTGTAGCCGCTCCGGTCTAGCGCTAGAGCCGTGACGTCAACATTTGGACCGTGAGCCTCTGGGATGGAGTAGACGATCTGACCAGTCTCGGCATCCCAGACCTGAGGGCAAGATTCAGTGTCATGTCATCACCTCACTGACATGTCATGTCATCACCTCACTGACATGTCATGTCATCACCTCACTGACATGTCATGTCATCACCTCACTGACATGTCATGTCATCAACTCAATACCATATCATGTCATAACCTCACTGACATTTCATGTCATCACTTCAGTGATATTTCATGTCATGTAATCACCTCTCTGACATGTCATTTCATCAGCTCACTGACATGTCATGCCATCACTTCGGTGACATTTTATGTCATGTCATAACCTCTTACATGTCATGTCATCACTTCAGTGACAAATGTCATTAACTCAATACCATGTCATGTCATAACCTCACTGACATTTCATGCCATATCGTCACTTCAGTGGCATGTCATGTGACATTGAGAAGACTCAACTGGACAGATGTCACATGACCAGGGTACATGTATGTGGCGACTCACCTTGATGACAGGCTGTGTGCAAACAGAAACAACCTGGTGGAATGCTTGGTTGAACAGCATCTGGTGACATAGACACGGTACAGTGAACACATGACATCTGGTGACATAGACACGGTACAGTGAACATGACATCTGGTGACATAGACACGGTACAGTGAACATGACATCTGGTGACATAGACACGGTACAGTGAACACATGACATCTGATGACATAGACACGGTACAGTGAACACATGACATCTGATGACATAGACACGGTACAGTGAACACATGACATCTGGTGACATAGACACGGTACAGTGAACACGACATCTGGTGACATAGACACGGTACAGTGAAAAAATGACATCTGACGACATAGACACGGTACAGTGAACACATGACATATGGTGACATAGACACGGTACAGTGAACATGACATCTGGTGACATAGACACGATACAGTGAACATGACATCTGGTGACATAGACACGGTACAGTGAACACATGGCATCTGGTGACATAGACACAGTACAGTGATCACATGACATCTGGTGACATAGACACGGTACAGTGAACACATGACATCTGGTGACATAGACACGGTACAGTGAACACATGACATCTGGTGACATATACACGGTACAGTGAACACATGACAACTGGTGACATAGACACGGTACAGTGAACACATGACATCTGGTGACATAGACACGGTACAGTGAACACATGACAACAGGTGACATAGACACGGTACAGTGAACACATGACATCTGGTGACATATACACGGTACAGTGAACACATGACATCTGATGACATAGACACGGTACAGTGAACATGGAATCTGGTGATATAGACACGATACAGTGAACACATGACATCTGGTGACATAAATACGGTACAGTGAACACATGACATCTGGTGACATAAATACGGTACAGTGAACACATGAAATCTGGTGACATAAATACGGTACAGTGAACACATGACATCAAGTCACCCACCACCATCAAGTCACCATCACATATAGTCACCATTCCATCAATTCACCACCCGTCAAGTCATCACCCACCAAGTCACCAACCCATCAAGTCACCACCCCATCAAGTCACCACTCCCCTAAAGTCACCACCCATAAAATCACCACCCCCATCAAGTTACCACCCCATTAAGTAACCACCCCCACCATGTTACCACCCCATCAAGTCACCACCCATCAAGTCACCACCCCATTAAGTCACCACCCCATTAAGTCACCACCCCATTAAGTCACCACCCCATTAAGTCACCACCCCATTAAGTCACCACCCCCATCAAGTCACCACCCCATTAAGTCACCACCCCCATCAAGTCACCACCCCATCAAGTCACCACCCCCATCAAGTCACCACCCCATCAAGTCACCACCCCATCAAGTCACCACCCCATCAAGTCACCACCCCATCAAGTCACCACCCATCAAGTCACCACCCATCAAGTCACCACCCCATCAAGTCACCACCCCATCAAGTCACCACCCCCATCAAGTCACCACCCCATACAGTCACCACCCCATCAAGTCACCACCCCATCAACTCACCACCCCATCAAGTCACCACCCCCATCAAGTCACCACCCCATACAGTCACCACCCCATCAAGTCACCACCCCATCAAGTCACCACCCATCAAGTCACCACCCATCAAGTCACCACCCCATCAAGTCACCACCCCATTAAGTCACCACCCCCATCAAGTCACCACCCCATTAAGTCACCACCCCCATCAAGTCACCACCCCATCAAGTCACCACCCCCATCAAGTCACCACCCCATCAAGTCACCACCCCATCAAGTCACCACCCCATCAAGTCACCACCACATCAAGTCACCACCCATCAAGTCACCACCCATCAAGTCACCACCCCATCAAGTCACCACCCCATCAAGTCACCACCCCATCAAGTCACCACCCCCATCAAGTCACCACCCCATACAGTCACCACCCCATCAAGTCACCACCCCATCAAGTCACCACCCATCAAGTCACCACCCATCAAGTCACCACCCCATCAAGTCACCACCCCATCAAGTCACCACCCCCATCAAGTCACCACCCCATCAAGTCACCACTCCCCTACAGTCACCACCCCCATCAACTCACCACCCATCAACTCACCACCCATCAAGTCACCACTCATCAAGTCACCACCCCATCAAGTCACCACCCCATCAAGTCACCACTCACCTGAACCACAGGCTTGTCGTGTGACACTGGAACTGGCCCAATCTCCTTGACCGTGCGGGCCAGTGGCCAGCAGTCGAGTACACAGGACCCTGGGGACGGGATTCAAACATCAAAGCTTTAGGGTACGTCATTACTGACCTTTCAATGTACATGTGACCTTATATCGCCCTGCAAGTGACCTTGTTCGCCCTTCCACATTATATTTACCCCCCCCCCCCCCCATAACGTTTATGGCGACAGTTGTGACCTCTGACCTGTCAGTAGCCTCTCGTGTTTGTTGTCATATGCCATGGCGTAGATCCGTCTGTCACCTGGCCGGTCTTCGTTGTCCGTAAACACCTGCAACAAACAGGTCAATTAAACATCTGCAACAAACAGGTCAATTAAACACCTGCAACAAACAGGTCAATTAAACTCCTGCAACAAACAGCTCAATTAAACACCTGCAACAAACAGGTGAATTAAACACCTACAACAAACAGGTCAATTAAACACCTGCAACAAACAGGTGAATTAAACACCTGCAACAAACAGGTCAATTAAACACCTGCAACAAACAGGTCGGTTAAACACCTGCAGCAAATAAGTCAATTAAACACCTGCAACAAAACAGGTCAATTAAACACCTGAAACAAACAGGTCAATTAAACACCTGCAACAAACAGGTCAATTAAACACCTGCAACAAACAGGTCAATTAAACACCTGCAACAAACAGGTCAATTAAACACCTGCAACAAATAGGTCAATTAAACACCTGCAACAAACAGGTAATCAAACACATGAAGTGTACAGGTCAATTATACACCTGTAATATACACATAAATCAAACACTTATATGTGACACTTTTATCACACACTGTAAGTAATACGAGTAAAAACAATGTATAACATCTCTACAAACATCTGTATTTAAATAAACAACTCCTGCATTTAAAACCTGTATAGGAACACCTGTAATTAACACCTGCATATAACACCTACATATAACATCTGTATTGAACCCCATCAGACACGATCACTCACCTGTAAACATGTCAGTGTGTGAATGTCCCACACACTCACCTGTAAACATGTCAGTGTGTGAATGTCCTACACACTCACCTGTAAACATGTCAGTGTGTGAATGTTCCACACACGAAACACACTCACCTGTAAACATGTCAAAGTGTGAATGTCCCACACACGAAACACACTCACCTGTAAACATGTCAGTGTGTGAATGTCCTACACACTCACCTGTAAACATGTCAGTGTGTGAATGTTCCACACACGAAACACACTCACATGTAAACATGTCAGTGTGTGAATGTTCCACACACGAAACACACTCACCTGTAAACATGTCAGTGTGTGAATGTCCCACACACTCACCTGTAAACATGTCAGTGTGTGAATGTCCCACACAACACACTCACCTGTAAACATGTCAGTGTGTGAATGTCCCACACAACACACTCACCTGTAAACATGTCAGTGTGTGAATGTCCCACACACTCACCTGTAAACATGTCAGTGTGTGAATGTCCCACACACGAAACTCACTCACCTGTAAACATGTCAGTGTGTGAATGTCCCACACACGAAACTCACTCACCTATAAACATGTCAGTGTGTGAATGTCCCACACACGAAACTCACTCACCTGTAAACATGTCAGTGTGTGAATGTCCCACACACAAAACACACTCACCTGTAAACATGTCAGTGTGTGAATGTCCCACACACAAAACACACTCACCTGTAAACATGTCAGTGTGTGAATGTCCCACACACGAAACACACACACCTGTAAACATGTCAGTGTGTGAATGTCCCACACAACACAAGACACTCACCTGTAAACATGTCAGTGTGTGAATGTCCCACACACGAAACACACACACCTGTAAACATGTCAGTGTGTGAATGTCCCACACAACACAAGACACTCACCTGTAAACATGTCAGTGTGTGAATGTCCCACACACGAAACACACGTGCTGTTGACAGGCTGATGATGTGCTGGTCAGTTTCATTGATGGCGATGTCCACAATTGTAAACAAGTGACCAATCAGGCGACCTGCGATTCAAAAAACAAAATATGACGTCATTCTCCTAGTGCCACGCCCCCCCCCCACCCCACTGCCCTGCAGTGTGACGCCACTGTGTATGACCCACAGTGTATGACCCACAGTGTATGACCCAGTGTATGACCAACTGTATGACCCACTGTATGACCCACTGTATGACCCACAGTGTATAACCCAGTGTATGACCCAGTGTATGACCCACTGTATGACCCACTGTATGACCCACTGTATGACCCACAGTGTATGACCCAGTGTATGACCCAGTGTATGACCCAGTGTATGACCCACTGTGTATGACCCACAGTGTATGACCCAGTGTATGACCCAGTGTATGACCCAGTGTATGACCCACAGTGTATGACCCACAGTGTATGACCCACAGTGTATGACCCACAGTGTATGACCCAGTGTATGACCCAGTGTATGACCCACAGTGTATGACCCACTGTATGACCCAGTGTATGACCCAGTGTATGACCCAGTGTATGACCCACAGTGTATAACCCAGTGTATGACCCAGTGTATGACCCAGTGTATGACCCAGTGTATGACCCACAGTGTATGACCCAGTGTATGACCCAGTGTATGACCCACAGTGTATGACCCACAGTGTATGACCCACTGTATGACCCAGTGTATGACCCAGTGTATGACCCACAGTGTATGACCCACAGTGTATGACCCACAGTGTATGACCCACTGTATGACCCACTGTATGACCCAGTGTATGACCCAGTGTATGACCCAGTGTATGACCCACAGTGTATGACCCAGTGTATGACCCACAGTGTATGACCCACAGTGTATGACCCAGTGTATGACCCAGTGTATGACCCACAGTGTATAACCCAGTGTATGACCCAGTGTATGACCCACAGTGTATGACCCAGTGTATGACCCAGTTTATGACCCAGTGTATGACCCACAGTGTATGACCCAGTGTATGACCCACAGTGTATGACCCAGTGTATGACCCAGTGTATGACCCACAGTGTATGACCCAGTGCATGACCTAGTGTATGACCCAGTGTATGACCCAGTGTATGACCCAGTGTATGACCCAGTGTATGACCCAGTGTATGACCCAGTGTATGACCCAGTGTATAACCCAGTGTATACCCAGTGTATGACCCAGTGTATGACCCAGTGTATGACCCAGTGTATGACCCAGTGTATGACCCACAGTGTATGACCCAGTGTATGACCCAGTGTATGACCCAGTGTATGACCCAGTGTATGACCCACAGTGTATGACCCACAGTGTATGACCCAGTGTATCATCCACAGTGTATGACCCACAGTTTATGACCCAGTGTATGACCCAGTGTATGACCCACAGTGTATGACCAAGTGTATGACCCAATGTATAACCCAGTGTATAACCTAGTGTATGACCCAGTGTATGAACCAGTATATGACCCAGTGTATGACCCACTGTATGACCCAGTATATGACCCAGTGTATGACCCAGTGAATGACCCAGTGTATGACCCACAGTGTATGACCCAGTGTATGACCCAGTGTATGACCCAGTGTATGACCCAGTGTATGACCCAGTGTATGACCCAGTGTATGACCCAGTGTATGACCCACAGTGTATGACCCACTGTATGACCCACTGTATGACACAGTGTATGACACAGTGTATGACCCAGTGTATGACCCACAGTGTATGACCCAGTGTATGACCCAGTGTATGACCCACAGTGTATGACCCAGTGTATGACCCACAGTGTATGACCCACAGTATATGACCCACAGTATATGACCGAGTGTTTGACCCAGTGTATAACCCAGTGTATAACCCAGTGTATGACCCAGTGTATGACCCAGTGTATGACCCAGTGTATAACCTAGTGTATGACCCAGTGTATGAACCAGTATATGACCCAGTGTATGACCCACTGTATGACCCAGTATATGACCCAGTGTATGACCCACTGTATGACCCACTGTATGACCCAGTGTTTAACCCAGTGTATGACCCAGTGTATGACCCACAGTGTATGACCCAGTGTATGACCCCGTGTATGACCCAGTGTATGACCCAGTGTATGACCCAGTGTATGACCCACAGTGTATGACCCAGTGTATGACCCACAGTGTATGACCCAGTGTATGACCCAGTGTATGACCCAGTGTATGACCCAGTGTATGACCCAGTGTATGACCCAGTGTATGACCCAGTGTATGACCCGTGTATGACCCACCTCACGGCCTGGAGTAGATGTGTGGGTGTCAGTGTATGACCCAGTGTATGACCCACAGTGTATGACCCACAGTGTATGACCCACAGTGTATTACCCAGTGTATGACCCACAGTGTATGACCCAGTGTATGACCCACAGTGTATGACCCAGTGTATGACCCAGTGTATGACCCACAGTGTATGACCCACAGTGTATGACCCACAGTGTATGACCCAGTGTATGACCCAGTATATGACCCAGTGTATGACCCACTGTATGACCCACTGTATGACCCAGTGTATGACCCAGTGTATGACCCACTGTATGACCCAGTATATGACCCAGTGTATGACCCACTGTATGACCCACTGTATGACCCAGTGTATGACCGACTGTATGACCCAGTGTATGACCCAGTGTATGACCCAGTGTATGACCCAGTGTATGACCCACAGTGTATGACCCAGTGTATGACCCACTGTATGACCCAGTATATGACCCAGTGTATGACCCACTGTATGATCCAGTATATGACCCAGTGTATGACCCACTGTATGACCCAGTATATGACCCAGTGTATGACCCACTGTATTACCCAGTGTATGACCCAGTGTATAACTCAGTGTATGACCCAGTGTATGACCCAGTGTATGACCCAGTGTATGACCCAGTGTATGACCCAGTGTATGACCCAGTGTATGACCCACAGTTTATGACCCACTGTATGACCCAGTGTATGACCCAGTGTCTGACCCACTGTATGACCCAGTGTATGACCCACAGTGTATGACCCAGTGTATGACCCAGTGTATGACCCAGTGTATGACCCAATGTATGACCCAGTGTATGACCCAGTATGACCCACTGTATGACCCACTGTATGACCGAGTGTATTACCCAGTGTATGACCCAGTGTATGACCCAGTGTATGACCCACTGTATGACCCACTGTATGACCCAGTGTATGACCCACTGTATGACCCAGTGTATGACCCAGTGTATGACCCAGTGTATGACCAACTGTATGACCCAGTGTATGACCCAGTGTATGACCCACTGTATGACCCAGTGTATGACCCAGTGTATGACCCAGTGTATGACCCAGTGTATGACCCAGTGTATGACCCAGTGTATGACCCACTGTATGACACAGTGTATGACCCACTGTATGACCCAGTGTATGACCCAGTGTATGACCCAGTGTATGACCCAGTGTATGACCCACTGTATGACCCAGTGTATGACCCAGTGTATGACCCACTGCATGACCCAGTGTATGACCCAGTGTATGACCCACTGTTTGACCCAGTGTATGACCCAGTGTATGACCCAGTGTATGACCCACTGTTTGACCCAGTGTATGACCCAGTGTATGACCCAGTATATGACCCAGTGTATGACCCAGTGTATGACCCAGTGTATGACCCACAGTGTATGACCCAGTGTATGACCCAGTGTATGACCCACAGTGTATGACCCACAGTGTATGACCCACTGTATGACCCAGTGTATGACCCAGTGTATGACCCACAGTGTATGACCCACAGTGTATGACCCACAGTGTATGACCCACTGTATGACCCACTGTATGACCCAGTGTATGACCCAGTGTATGACCCAGTGTATGACCCACAGTGTATGACCCAGTGTATGACCCACAGTGTATGACCCACAGTGTATGACCCAGTGTATGACCCAGTGTATGACCCACAGTGTATAACCCAGTGTATGACCCAGTGTATGACCCACAGTGTATGACCCAGTGTATGACCCAGTTTATGACCCAGTGTATGACCCACAGTGTATGACCCAGTGTATGACCCACAGTGTATGACCCAGTGTATGACCCAGTGTATGACCCACAGTGTATGACCCAGTGCATGACCTAGTGTATGACCCAGTGTATGACCCAGTGTATGACCCAGTGTATGACCCAGTGTATGACCCAGTGTATGACCCAGTGTATGACCCAGTGTATAACCCAGTGTATACCCAGTGTATGACCCAGTGTATGACCCAGTGTATGACCCAGTGTATGACCCAGTGTATGACCCACAGTGTATGACCCAGTGTATGACCCAGTGTATGACCCAGTGTATGACCCAGTGTATGACCCACAGTGTATGACCCACAGTGTATGACCCAGTGTATCATCCACAGTGTATGACCCACAGTTTATGACCCAGTGTATGACCCAGTGTATGACCCACAGTGTATGACCAAGTGTATGACCCAATGTATAACCCAGTGTATAACCTAGTGTATGACCCAGTGTATGAACCAGTATATGACCCAGTGTATGACCCACTGTATGACCCAGTATATGACCCAGTGTATGACCCAGTGAATGACCCAGTGTATGACCCACAGTGTATGACCCAGTGTATGACCCAGTGTATGACCCAGTGTATGACCCAGTGTATGACCCAGTGTATGACCCAGTGTATGACCCAGTGTATGACCCACAGTGTATGACCCACTGTATGACCCACTGTATGACACAGTGTATGACACAGTGTATGACCCAGTGTATGACCCACAGTGTATGACCCAGTGTATGACCCAGTGTATGACCCACAGTGTATGACCCAGTGTATGACCCACAGTGTATGACCCACAGTATATGACCCACAGTATATGACCGAGTGTTTGACCCAGTGTATAACCCAGTGTATAACCCAGTGTATGACCCAGTGTATGACCCAGTGTATGACCCAGTGTATAACCTAGTGTATGACCCAGTGTATGAACCAGTATATGACCCAGTGTATGACCCATTGTATGACCCAGTATATGACCCA